TATATAAAAACAATAGATAAAAAGAATACTTCTACTTTAAATATGGATAAACGAATATACAATTGCCAGTGAATCTTATTGTAGGTCTAACAGGAATTAACTAACGATGGTTTCCAGGATGGACCGCGTGGAACTAAATGTACCTTATATTGCTAGCAATAATATTCAATATTAATTCCCACTGTTCATAATAGGTACACATACAATACTAGCTGGTCCCGCAAACGTTACTTTGTTATAAATTACTAGCTGTGCTCGCGTTAAGTTTCAATAAAAAATATATCCTGTGTTATTCAGATGCATAAGCTATATTAGTGTAAAGTTTCGTAAAAATCTATTCAGTAGTTTTTGCGTGAAAGAGCAACAAAGATCCATACTTACAAACTTTCACGTTTAGAATATTATATTAAGATTAAGATTTCTGAAAACTATTAAAGTACTAATCATCATAATTTCAACTTGTGTCTATCCACAGTTGGATATAGGCCTGATGAAGGTGGTCCAAATCGAGAAGGTTGTCGATAACATACTAATAGACCAATCAAAATAAGAAGTAAACCAAAAATGTCATTGATCAAATTAATATGTTTCCACATAAAGAATCGCATTATCTCCGCAATCTAACAATGATAAATTCTAGATGAAAAGCATAATTGCGCTAAAATGCATCGTTTATACTTATAGTGCATTAAGAAAAACCCAGATTATGAAAATGTTACTCCAGCCTCTCAGAGATGGTACTATAATATTAGGTCCTTACATATGAAATTGGTGTTTTGTCGTACTGGCCACTTTGATCTCAAATATCTTCTCTTTCGCCAGGAATTCAAAGTTCAAATTAGTACAGTTATAGTACTCATGCATTTGTTTTTCGAAAACCGTAATCCATATGTTTTTTCCATCTTTGGTTTTTTCTTTACGTCACTGAGTTTACAAAATGGAAAACATAAAATATCGCGTTTTTTAAGAGTACGAATTCCGTCGTGGCACTAGTGTGCAGAAACGACTCGAAGAATTAATGATGTGTATGGCGATGGTGATCTGCAAAACAAGCCCCGTGAGTAGCCAGAGTCCAAGGTTGATAATGAAGAATTAAAGGCTAATGTGGAAGCGGATCTATCGCTAACCACGTCCGAGTTAACTGCAGGCTGCAGTGTTAGTAACAAAACTGTTTTAATCCACTTGAAGCAAATTGGGAAGGTGAAAAAAGCTTGAAAAGATCATGAATTGAATGGAGCAAATCGACAAACGCGCGTACACTGCTGCGTTATTAGCCAAACGGCATAATAATGAAGGGATTTTAAATCGGATCATTACCTGTTATGAAAAGTGGATCTTGTACGATAATCGGAAACACTCATCGCAATGGCTGAATCCTAGCAAACTAACCAAATCCTGCCCCAAGCGAAAATTCAAACTCAAAAAAAGTTACTTGTGAGCACTTAGTGGACTAGTGCCTGTGTTGTTCACTTCAGCTTTCTTATATCTGGCCAGAATATTACGGCAGATGTGTATTGTCAGCAATTGCAAACCATGATGGAAAAGCTAGCTGCTAAACAACCGAGACTGGTCAATCACCGTAGGCTACTGCTGCTTCAGGACAACGTTACGAAATTAGAAGAGCTTCAAATGTCCAATATATCCACCGTACTTCCCGGATCTTGCTTTCTTTCAAAATTTGGATAACTTCTTGCAAGGGAAAAAATTTTTTAGTAAAGGGATCAATAAAACTACCTATCAAATGGCAAAAGTGCATTAATGGCAATGGACCATATTTTGATTAAATAAATGTATTATATTTTGAAAAATCAACTGAAATTGGCGTTTTGTAAGGGAGTAATTAGGTTACTCCCTTACAAATTTCATATGTTAGGACCTAATATATTTACTACACGAGTTGGAGTAAAATTAAAGAGATTTCGGCAGATCCTCAATGTCCGGGGAAATTCCAAATAAAATACGCATTCGCTGATGAGACACCAAATAATAGACAAATAGAAGGGGAAGACTTATGAGAAAAAAAGAGCTGCACACAGCGAGCCTTCTGAAATCAAGCATTAGTATGATGCACCGCTACCGATACCTAAAATATATACAAAGACTTGATGAATCTATATAAAGATAATAACATACCACCACACTATCAGACGTTTTATAAGAACTTAAGTACTAAATCTAAGACTAAACTAAACTAAACCACAGAGTCCGATTCCAAAGTTGAGGATAATGAACATTAATAAAAATATCACTATTTTGAACATTTTTTGATTAAGTTGATTATGGAGGCAATAAACATTTCTTTAAAAATAATAATAACCCTGTTTGTTTTCATATACTCTAAATTAATTTGTCCCTATATTTATACTTTTGACTTACATGCACGCACATAATAGACTATTTACTGTAAGAAGTAGGTATTACATGATACAAATTAAATATTCAGTTACTTTCCGCATTATAAAAGCTATTTTTATAAATACACTAACTAAACTAAAATAAATGGCTCCCTAGAAATACGTAACTCGATGTACAAAAAATGATATTTCGTTAAATAACAACGTAATTATACTTGCAATTCTAGATTTTAATGAAATATAGGAGAGTATAAAGGCGTAAGTAGAGTTAAATTTGTTCATATATTTAAAAATACATAACAATAAAGCAATAATTGTAGTTACCCCTGCGAATGTTCTTTGTGTTTCGTGGAATACAGAAGTAACCGTGTTTTTTTAGATTATCTGGAAGTACATGAAGCTGTTCCTAAATTAAATGACACATGTAGTTGAAGGCAACTGTGACCTACGATTTTCTCTTTGAAACTTATTTCTAGAACTCATACAAAAAATATAGGACAGTTTTTTTAAGCTCCTGAAAAGTTGGTGAAAATCACTTACTTCCTTTTTCCACGAAGGGTGCGATATAGACAACCAATATTTATCTGAAGTTTTAAATACATCCGATAATATGGATGACGGTTACGTCATACCGCATCACCCTGTCATTAGGCAGGATAAAGACACCACCAAGGTCAGAATAGTCCTTGATGCAAGTGCTAAATGTCATAACGGCATTTCTCTAAATGATATTTTACATACGGGTCCTAATCTGCAAGCTGATTTATTTTTACTTTTATTAAATTTTCGTTTATTTCCAATCGCTATAACCGCGGATATAAAACAAATGTACCTACAAATTTTAGTAACCGACGAGTATCGTAAATATCAAAAAATACTGTACCGCTTTAATACGTCTGAACCCATACGTACCTTTCAATTTAATAGAGTTGCATTTGGTCTTAAGTCATGTCCTTACCTTGCCATGCGTACAATTCGTCAGCTTTGTGATGATGAACGCGATAACTTCCCGCTGGCTGCTTTTATAGCTGAAAGGGAACTGTATATGGACGATTTAGCTACGTCTATACTAAATGAGGTTGATGCTGTCGAGGCTACCGCTCAATTAATTAATATGTTTAAGTCAGGTGGCTTTCAATTAGTTAAATGGTCTAGTAATTCAAAGAACCTACTAGAGAGCATTCCTACACCGCTGAAACTTGCACAGCAAGTTGAGTTTGATAGACGTGAGTCCCTTAAGATATTAGGGCTCGAATGGAACCCGCAAGATGATATTTTCGTTTTTAAAATCAATTGTGATGACCGCTTGTGTACAAAACGTACCATACTTTCCCTAATTGCCCGATTATGGGACGTATTAGGTTTTGCTGCGCCTGTCGTACTTACCGCTAAACTACTTATTAAAGATCTTTGGCTGCAGAAAGTCGGTTGGGATGATGTACCTCCGACAAATATAACCGCTATTTTTACTACATTTAAACAACAATTACCGCTTCTTGCTAATTTAAAAATACCGCGTCATTTATCTGTCACGCAAGACTGTATAATAAATATCGTTGCGTTTTCGGATGCTAGTTTAAAAGCTTACGGCTGCGTTATTTACTTACATGTGACAGATCCCGCAGGCAATATATACGTGAGATTAGTCTGTGCGAAATCAAAAGTCGCACCCGTTAAGGTAGTCTCACTTGCGCGACTAGAACTTTGCGCCGCCGTTTTAATGTCTAAACTAACTAAACTAGTTTACGATGCTTACTCTTCACGCACGTCTGTACAGAACGTCTATGCATTTTCTGACTCGAAAATTGCACTCTCATGGATTCATTCTTCACCACATCGGTGGAATATCTTCGTTAGCAATCGTGTGGCTAAATGTCAGGAAAATTTACAATCAAAACATTTCTATCAGGTGGCTGGATTCAATAATCCAAGCGACTGTCTTTCAAGAGGTTTACTGCCTAAACAATTACTTACCCATGAGTTGTGGTGGAACGGTCCCGCGTGGCTGAGTAGCCCCGTCTGCTCTTGGCCGGTAGAGTCATTTACACCTGAAAAATATGAAAACTTACCTGAATATAATACTAAGACGTTCGTTACAGCTGCTTCCAATACTGTAGTCTCACCGCTTTGTGATCTTGCATCTAAAGTTTCATCCTGGAACAAATTATTACGAATTACTATACTACTAACTACTATATACTGCGATTTATACGCGTATTGCCCCGCTCTAAATATATTGAAACCGCTCATTTAAATATCGCTGAAAAATATATACTTACAGCAATTCAGGTCGCTCATTTTTCTCATGTTATTAGAGATCTTAAAAAGGGTAATTTACCTACTGGAACTCTGCGTAAATTAGATCTTTTTATTGATGACGATGGTATAATTAGGATCGAAGGTAGATTATCAAATGCTAACTTACCTTTCCAGGCAAAACATCCCGTTTTATTGCCTAAGCGCGACCATATTACTTACTTAATAATAGATCATTTTCACCGCGTGAACTGTCACACAGGTGCCATTCTTCTATGTTCTTTAATTCGCCAAAAATACTGGATATTGTCAGCCAGGTCAGTTATAAGACAACGTGTACATTCTTGTAATTTTTGTTTTAAATACTCACCTTTACATCCAAGTCCAAAAATGGCTGATCTTCCTGCTTTTCGTGTTCAAGAGACTAAAGCTTTTGTACATACGGGAGTAGATTATGCTGGCCCTATTAACATAACCCTTTGTCGACGCCGTGGACAAAGAAGTCAGAAATCATATATTTGTTTATTTATATGTTTAGTAACCAAGGCGGTTCACATCGAACTCGCCTCTGATTTATCTTCTGAATCGTTTATTTCCGCATTTAAGAGATTCATATCTCGTCGAGGTCCAGTTTCTTGTCTTTATTCTGACAACGGAACCAATTTCATTGGTGCTAAATCGCAATTAAATGAACTTTATACATTCTTAAATTCTGAAAATTATAACTGCATACTCCAAAATGACTTAAATCAGCGTAGAATAGAATGGCATATGATACCGCCCCGCGCTCCTCATTTCGGAGGAATATGGGAGACACAATTTAAAAGCATAAAAACCCACTTATTCAGAGTGATAGGGAAACAACTGCTTACTTATGAGGAGCTTTTGACGGTTTTGATCCAAATTGAAACTGTATTAAATTCCCGTCCTCTTTGTGTGTTACAAGAGGAACCGCATCCAGAACCTCTGACGCCTGCTCATTTTATTATGTCCTCACCTCTGCAGTGCTTACCTCTAACGCCACTTTCTGATATTCCGTTACGTACTCGTAAATCATTACTCGATCAAATGATCTATTCCTACTGGAAAAGGTGGCATTTAGAATATTTGAACAACTTACAAGTTCGCCAAAAATGGTTTAAAAATACAGATAATGTTAAGGTTGGTACTGTAGTGCTTATACATGATGATAACGTCTCACCACTGCGGTGGCCAATGGGTATCATTGTGAAAATATATCCAGGCTCAGATGGTATTGCTCGCGTAGCATCTGTTAAAACTCAAAATGGTTTGCTCAAGCGACCAATCGTTAAATTAAGCCCTTTACCTTCTCAATAAACTCTATTTTTCTTATAAACCGCATTTACTTATTATTTACCGCTAGGTGTATTCTATTAAGTTTTTCTTATTATGCTCTATAACTAATTATAAGTATGTTAGGAATATATATTATAATGTACACCCGCTTCATATATTGCTCTTCTTTGTATTTTCTTTGAGAAACCCTTAGTTTCTCAAGGCGGGGGGGGATGTTCGCGCCATTTATAAACATATCAAGTGGTATGGTATTATTCCCCATATCCTAATCCCTTTCCCGCGCACAGTATGTCAACTGAGGTCGCCCGACGACCTCGTCTACTAACGTGAATGGTGACATCTCGTCCCAACCGCTCCGCTTTAAATTAATTAATATAATATTGACATTAACAATAAGTAACTTTGTGTGCGTGCCTGTGTTAAACTTAGTATTCATCGAGTGCAGCAGCTGTGCAAGAATACAGCCGCTCTAAAGTCGAAGGTACGTACTGTGCACCTTTTCATTTCCATACAGTCCACTTACCTTACCCGCTAACCCCCATTTCTCCACCCAGCACTCAGTAAAATTTTTGAAAAAATAATCCTTATGCAGCTTGTCAGTTATTTCAATTTAAATAATTTAATCCACAATAGTCAATTCGGTTTTTCCAAAGGTCGTTCAACTACAGACGCAGGTGTAGAGTTGCTTAGACACGTATTTGCTGCATGGGAAACTAAAATGGATGCGATAGGTGTTTTTTGTGACCTTTCTAAGGCTTTTGATTGCGTTGATCATAATACATTGCTAAAAAAACTTGCTTTTTATGGCGTCAAAGACAATGCTTTAAATTTAATAAAATCTTATCTATCTGATAGAATACAGAAAGTGAAGGTTAGCAGCGCTACGTCTGACGGGTCACTTGTGCGAGTAGGTGTACCTCAAGGATCTATTCTCGGTCCATTTTTATTCCTAGTTTACATTAATGATCTCCCATATGCCATGCAGGATAGATGCGGCATAGTATTATTTGCAGACGATACTTCATTGATTTTTAAAGTTAATAGAATGACTAATAATTATGACGATGTAAGTAGTGCTTTGCGGCGTCTCCTGCACTGGTTTACAACTAACAATCTTATGTTAAACGCTAAAAAAACAAAATGTGTTAATTTCTCTCTGTCTAAAAGTTTTAATACTAATTGCAATATTAAATTAAATGACGAATCTCTCGAATTTATAGAATCTACTGTCTTTCTAGGAATCACACTAGATAATAAAACACAATGGGGTGCACAAATTCAAAGCCTTGCAGCGAAACTAAGTTCAGCAGCTTTTGCCGTGCGTAAGGTTAGACAGTACACTGATACTGATACTGCTAGATTAGTCTATTTTAGTTATTTTCATAGTTTACTCTCTTATGGAATATTACTATGGGGAAAAGCGGCAGATATTAAAAATATATTCATATTACAAAAACGTGCCGTTCGAGCGATCTACTGTATGTATTTATCAGTAATAAAACCATGAACTACCTACAGTTCAATAAAAGTAAAATAAGAGGAAGTTGCGAACAGTTTTGAAACTAGATATGCTTACATAGAACTCACATTACTTTAATGATTACAGTATAAGAAGGAACATCACAAACACTCAATCACGATCACCTTCTAGCGACTCGCTTGTTGCGGGCCGCTACCGCAGCAGAAACCTTCGGTGCAACTGACCCCCTAGCTTCTGGTGTAACGGAACTGACAGCTTCCGGCGCAACCGCAGTAGCGGCAGAAAGAGTGCCTATAAGTTTGTTTACCTCCGTTGTGGTGGTGATCCGATGTTTTGTGTCGTCATCTCTGGCGATAAACACAAGTCCATCGCGTGTCCAGCACTTCTTAATACCAAAGTGGCGTCGAGCACACATGAAAGCCTCGTGTCTCCCTTTAGTTAAAAACTCAGAGACTGTGATACCAGTATCCTTGAGCCCAGTCTTAGCAAGCCAGATTTTATTCCGTAAAGTAAGATCTGAAAATTTTACCAGGATAGGACGAGGCTTGTCACCAGATGTTCGTCCCACTCGGTGACACCTGCTGATGTTAACTACAGTGAAGCCTGGGATCTTCAATTTGTCTGCAACAACTTTGACTACATCTTGCGAAGTATTACTGCCACTGGACTCTTGTACTCCATGTAATAACAAGATCTTTCTTCGACTTCGCATCTCAAATCGGTCCATCTGGTTAGCTAGCAGTTCAAGCTGTTGCTGAAGGTTGCAGAAAGTACTTGTGACGAATGTTTGGAATACTACAAAGTCAGCAGTTATCGAAGACACAGTGCTTGGTGTGGTGCTTGGTGCTGTGCTAATCTTTTGCAAATCATTTTGAAAGACAGCCATCTTTTCGTTTAATTGTTTCATCATATTGAAAAATGTACCTTGTAGTGCGTCCATAGTGAGTTTTTGGAAGGAGTCAATGTTACTGGTACAGGTAGAAATACACTATCTCTTGTAGTTTGACATATCAAAACTTAAAAAAATATAGATATAATAATTATTTATTAATATAATCTGAGATCACTTTTTATTTGAGTGTATTGATGTGCAGCTACCCACAAAAAATTATATCTGGTATCTGTGTCATGTGGCGAGGAAGGAGCCGACGACCGGCTGCCACGAATGCGGAGGTGTTGAGGACACGGCGCAACACCCGCTGGACGAATGTCCAGCGGTCGAGAGTGAGCGCCGTGTCCTCACACGAATAGTGGGGGACGATCTCTCGCTGCCGACTTTAGTCCGGAGGATGGTGAGTAGCGAGAGATCGTGGCTGGCGGTGAGCTCCTTCTGCGAGGAAGTTATCTCGCGGAAGGAGGCGGCGGGAAGGGAGCGGGAGTGGACTCGTCCCGCTTCCCTCCGCCGCAGAAGAGCCAGGCCTAGAGGTGGGGGCGTATCCGACTCCGCCCCCCTCTATCCCCCATTGGGGCCGGGGTGACTGCCTTGAGGGAGGCAGTCCCCCAATCCAAAGGCCCCGGAGGTGTACGCGTGTACCCACACGCCTCCACAATGGAGTAGGGCGAAATAGGTCGCCCTAATCGTAACGAACGTAGAGCTCACCGCCAGCCACGATCTCTCGCTACTGACCATCCTCCGAACTAAATTCGGCAGCGAGAGATGGTCCCCCACTATTCGTGTGAGGACACGGCGCTCACTCTCGAACGCTGGACATATTTCCAGCGTGTGTTGCGCCGTGTCCTCTACACCTCCGCATTCGTGGCAGCCGGTCGTCGGCTCCTTCCTCGCCACATGACACAGATACCGCCCGAAGCATCCGTGCCCGGACAGTATCTGCGTCATGCGGTACGTCAGTGGCCATCGCCTACTCATCCACCTTTTGAGGATGGGACGGACAGCCTCGACGGTCCTCAGGCCGGCCGATGGACTGGCCAGCCTTTCTCTCCACCTGATCCTGAGGATCCGCCGAAAGTCGGACCTCCGCGCTCCAATCTCGTGGCCAGCGGGTGCCTCCCCCATAGAACGTCGCTCCGCGCGCCAGTGATACACTGACGCGTGGAGCTCCGCTACCAAGTCCCACGGAGGAGACCCCGCCAGCAGACCCGCCGCTTCCCCGGATATGGTGCGGTAGCCTCTTATGGCCCGTATGGCCATGACCCTGTGTGGCCTGTTGAGGCAGGCCACATTTTCCCTACCTAGGGCCCCCACCCAGATGGGGGCCCCGTACAGGGCCATGGACCGCACCACGCCGAGGTATAGGCGGCGGGAACCTTCTCCCGGGCCCTCACATTTGGCAGCAGCCAGCTAAGAGCGCCGGCGGCTGCCATAAGGCGAGGGACCAGGTTCCGGAAGTGAGCGCGGAAGCTCCAACGACTGTCCAGGTCAAGCCCCAAGTATCGAATACAGGGCTTGACCCCCACCCTCTGGCCACTGACGACCAGCTGGGTATCTGGAGGTGGCGCACGCCGAGGCCCATGAAAACACAGGACCTCGGTCTTCTCCAGCGCCACCTGGAGCCCAAGCCTTCTTATACGACCGACGACCAGCGCCACGCATGCCGTGGCAAAGCGGGTAGCCTCCAGTAGGTCCCGCCCCCGGGCAGTGACCAAGGTGTCATCCGCGTAACACACGAGGTCAGTGCCCGTTAAAAGGGCGCCCCGCAGGTTCCAATCATACCCGATGTTCCACAGGATCGGGCCCAGAACCGTCCCCTGTGGAACACCGCGTTGCATTTCCCTCGGCACTACAACGCCGTTCCGCCCCGTGCATAGCACAGACCTGTCTTCGAGATAGGCCCCGATCACGTCCCGAATGTAGGGAGGCGCGCGATGGTACTTTAGCGCCTCCCTAATAGTCGCAAAGGGCAGGGTGTTGAAGGCGTTCTTAATGTCTAGAGAGGCCGCCAACAACACCCCACCCTGAGACGTCGCCTCTTCCGAGAGGGAGCGCACACGTGAGATCGCGTCAATCGTCGAGCGCCCCTCTCGGAACCCGAACTGCTTCGGGCTGAGATCGGGACCTACCTGAGACAGGTGTTGGACGAGTCGGCCCGCCAAGATTCGCTCGAAGAGCTTGCCGATCTCGTCCAACAGTACTATGGGGCGGAACGCCGAGGGAACCACCGAACCTGCGGGGTGCTCCGCTTTGCGGAGCAGGACCACTCTACCCGCTTTCCACTGATTGGGAAACCGTCCCGACTCCAGACACGCGTTGAACAAGCGCCGGAGTCGGTCCCCTAGGGTGTTTAGGGCCAAGGCCAGGACGCGGCCGTGGATACCATCCGGACCCGGGACGACATTCTTGCCCCGGAGTTTATCCACGGCCGCGGCGAACTCCTCCTCGGTAATGGCAGGAACCGCAGCAGCGCTGACGCCGCTGGCCTCTCCATCACTGCCACGCGGCATCATCGGAGGAGGTGTGAAGGGAGGCTGTCTCGGGAACAGCTCCTCCAACAGCCCCTCCAGCTGCTGCGGCTGGAGACTCTCTGCCACGGGGGGCGCCCAGGGGCGTAATTTGCCCCTGACGAACCTATAAGGGCGCCCC